TTGGATCCAAAATTCGAGCCGCTCGAAAATGATATTTGAGGTATGGTGAAATTCCCCTTCTAAATTTTGATATGTATTCACTTAATTAACTTGTTGGTCAATTTGCTATGTGATTTTTAGTGCACTACTCATGTACTCAGACATTGCATTATATGAAATGTGTAATTTTTGTGTAGTCTTATTGCATTCAATTTGTTGGTACAATTGTTATGTGTCGAGGCACCTTTGGTTAATACTAGGAAGACAAGCAAGATTTGGGGAATGAAAATTTCCAACACCTGTATTTCTGTTGGCTGGTTGTATTTGGTTTCTGAACATATAGTTGACTCGTAGGCCCCGGCGGGTCCAAGGGCTGCACAGTGGGAGTGAAGAGAAAATGAAAGCAATGCATGTTAATTAAATTAAAAATTTCTACTGTTTGTCAAGAACATTGTAAATTGGATATATAATTTGGTTTCCCTAATTTGCTCACGTATCTGGAAACAAGAATAAATGGCATCGTAATTCTTCCAGTGTTTTTACCTTTAGGTGTTTTGATTTATTGAGAAGGAAGAAGATGGTTGTTCAGGGGCATAGATGCGTTTGGTTTGGAGGTGGGATTCCCGTTCACTCTTATGTAGTATGGATGGCTGCACTATAAATAGGCTTATAACTAACTTACTAATAATTAAGGTTGTGCTGCTTCAAATTAAAGGACATCAAATTGGTTGTTGGGAATAGACAGTGGCTTAGGGAAGGAATAGACATATATTTGGCTGCTCAAAATTTAAGCTTTTGCTGCTGCGGATATGGCTTGTGTGGAGAGAAAGGAATTATAGAGTTTCCGGGGGTGAACATCACCTCAGGAAGTGTTTTGGTGGATTAGACTTGTTTTTGCAGTTCTGATAGTAATGTTTTGAACACTGAGATTAAACCTGGTTATTCCTGTGCATGTGTAGAGGTACTTACCCCTTATGGGATTGGTACTGGAATGAAATTTCTTGCCATTCCTCCCAAAAAAGAAACAAAACACATGGCTGTGTTTTCATTTTTGCTGCAAGAAACATGGCTGTTGCCTCCCTTTTAGATTGCTAAAAGATCAAACTCAATGTTAACTTCAATGGTTGTTGGGAAAAGGACAAATTCATACCACCCTCCATAGTCTCATTTCCATTTTTTTTCCCTGATTATGTGAAATTTATTACTGATTCTGCTTCTTCTTCTTCTTTTTTTGTCCTAATTTTATCTTGGTTGATTGGCTCTAACGCAGGGTTTCTTTTGATGCTATTGGACTCAGAAGGAAGCAGAAGGATCTCGGTCTCAGATTTTTGTTGTGAATACTGAATTTTGTTCATTGCTGACTAGTTATGGATTTCTTCTTGAACTTGGTTTGCCAGTAATGCTCTGTAACATTCATAAGACAGATTTTCTGTTGTGGTTCTGCGACACAGGTTTTTTTTTTTTTTTTTGCCATAGGTTCTGAAAATTGTTTGAATGGAATTGTTAGAAGCTATTGGGCCGGCCTTTAATGTGTTGATGATTAGGACTCTAACTGTTTGAAGTCTGTCTCTTCCAAGTCTACTTTTTATTCGGTTTAGTATGTTTGGATACCATTTCTCTTTCCTCTCACGATCTATATAATTAAAGGAATTAAAAGAAAAAAAATAAAATAAAAGACTTTTTTTTCTTTTAATTTTTTTAATAATTAAACAAAAAGATTTCTTTTTTTAAATCTCTCAATCTAAATACATTATTACTTATGATTACAATTTAATTTAAGAGTATGTGGTTAAGTGTGTATTGTTTTAAGGGTTTTTTTTTTTTTTTTTTTTTTCTTATTTTAAAAATATCAAAATTATTATAATTAAAATTTCTAAAAGCATATAAAACATTAATTAACCCACACGAAAAAGATGGTTGGCTTGACTGGCAAGAAATAACCTGTATAGGATAGGAAATAAAGTCTCAATTCAAGTTTAGTTAGGATTAGCACTTACAACTACTATGAATAAGCAGAACAAATTCTTTCTCCCAATACATTCCTCCACTTTCTTCACTCTTGTTCGGTTTCCGCAGCTGATACATGGCAGTGCAAGTCGAGCTCTCCCTCAGGACCTTGTTGAGGAAATTCTTGTATGGCTTCCCTCACAATCTCTGTTACGATTCAAATGCATATCGAAGCATTGAAATCTTCTATTTTCCAATCAAGGATTCATCCAAAGACACATGAAAACTAGGTCTTCTCTACACCCTCACCAGGTTTTGTTCAGAAGGAACTCTGATTGTACGCTTAGCATAGGCACTCCACACAACAATGATGAAGATGGAATTCTATTTCAACCTGTAAAAACAAAGCCTCAGCACTTGCACATCAAATACAACGTCGTAGGTCACTGCAATGGCCTCATGTGCATCGTCGACCATTCCACAGAAACAGGAGGTAGAAGCTTCGTGGTTTGGAACCCTTCAACAAAAGAACAGCAGAGAACTCCGGTGCCTGGTAAATTACCTTGGTGAAAGGGGAGCCGGGAATATTATGGATTTGGTTACGACTCCACCATGGATGATTACAAGATCGTACTAGTCTCAACTTCTTTTGATAAAAGAGTAGAGATCCAGAGATTGGGACTGAAAAAGGATTAATGGGAATTTGCTCAAAACAACACACATGACTCACTTCAACATTACCTGTACATGTCAAATTCACATGCAAAACATGTCAATGGCAACCTTTATTGGCTTATCAAAAAGAAAGGAGGTGGTAATAAAAGATATAATGGCATAGCATGTTTGCATTTGAGCAGAAATAGAATGAGAGAAGAGGAATCTCTAAGTGAGAAATTATAAAGTTGAAATAGATATATTGCTTTGCACCTCCTGGATGATTCTCTTTGTATGCTGCAGAGTGTTGATTTGGTTGACTTTAATGCGTGGATGATGAAGGAAAATCAGGTGACAAAGACAAAATCTTGGATCAAAATTTTCAGAGTTTCTACTAAACATAGCGTCCTCACCCCATTGCCAGTTCTGGAAAGACTCATAGTGATTGTTCCCATCTGTTTCACAGGAAATGGTAAAGTCGTAATGGTTGCCTCAAATAGGCAATATTTTGTTCTATATGACCCAAAAGATGAATCATTTAAGAAGGCTGCACCCTGTGGCTGTGGCAGTACTGGTAGCCCCATTTGTTGCTCTCCTTTGACTCCATTTGTTGAGAGCTTGGTATCACCGGGAAGAAAAGATGCAAGTCCAGAAAGACAGGAGCATGGTATGAAAAGGCAAAGGAAATAAAATTGGACACCGTCCACATGTGAATATTTCAAAGTGGAAGTAGTGATGAAATTGGACACCACCACCATTCATTCACCACCTCCTCCTGCATCCCTGCACCATAATGTTTTGCTGCACTGTTAGCATATCGCAATGAACTCATTTGTTTCTCATAGAACATCATTTAAAAAGATAGAATCCTGAAGTATATTAAATGCCTCAGTAAGAATTGAACAGGGCTAGCTTACTTTCCTTTTAGAAGACAGGATAAAGAACTAAGGATTACCAAGAATAAGAATCAAGGGAAAATGTGACCTTTTTATTATAAGCCACATCCAGCTTTCAGCAAAATTATTCAAGATTTTGGCAACCATTTTCTAGATATTTGAAACAGCTTAGCTCAAATAAATAATTTCCTTCAAAGTACAAGGATAACCAAGAGTCAAAATCAAAAAGTTCATTTTAGGTCCAATGAACATGGTTTTGAAGATGTAGTGATTTTTTATAACTAAAACCAAAAGGAAGTCATTACTAAACCAAGCTTAATTCATAATCTTCAGTTAGAGGTCTTTGCTATACCTTAAATCATTTCTAAATCAAATACTTCCTAAAAGCACAACACAATTGAATCCATACCCCAATACATGGCCTAACCATCAATCAAAAATGATTCAAGAGCAATTCTGAAGATATTGATGCTTAATCCTATAATGAAGTCAAAGTGAACCCTATCACATCGGTCAATCCACTCTAAGTTTAGAGAAGAACATTAACCAAAATCATGCATAAACCTTCCGGATACCACGTCAGGATCCCAAACTCATGATTCCCTTAAGGAAACAGAAAGGTACTAAACAAAACTATGCAACTAGAAATGAGGACGCAGTCATAGAAAACTCAATAAGAATATTATAGAACACTCTTTTATTTTGAAGAAACTTAACCATCATAGCCATTTTATTTTGAACCAGATCATGAACAAATCTTAACCAAGCATTCTAAATAATCCTAAGCTTAAAGGCTTCACAGGAGCAAGGAAAGTAAATGAAACTTCTTTTCCTTAATTAAACATGGAGACAAAGGCTGTCTTTGACCAAATATAAGACTTTCTCAATGGTTACAATAAATGGGTGGTAAATTTTGGTTTTAAAAATTGGTCCAAACTATCATTATTCTTTTAATACATACCCAAAATCATTTGAATGTGGTATCAAGTTATTGAGAAAAACTAACATTACTCATCAAGAGACTCACATTATCATAAGAGTATCAAAAATCAAATAGTAGAGGGAGATCCTTGCTATGTGCTTCCTTCTAGCTCTTCTCTATTCTACAGCCTCTTCTTTCCTTCTTCAAATGCCTCCTCCTTCTCCTCTGTTTCTTCAGATTCATTCACCTTCCCTTGATTCCTGCTACCACCAGAACCAGAGGTGAAGTTGTCAACGTTGAACCTAGAAACATTAAGGAGAACTCAGAATTCTAGCCATTACTTATTTGTACCCAATTAATGTTGACGCGACGAGAAATATCAAAATTCGCGCTTCTCTCTTTGCAAGCCATCTCCTAACCTTCACTTACTGGAACTTCCGGACCTTCATTTGCATAATT